ATTTCCAGCTACCGTTTTATATCTTTCAAAAATATGTCAGCAAATTGTTAAAACAACAACTAAGGTCAGGTGTTGGTGTTACGTACATGTATAAAAACGCCGCCGGTAATGGCAACTAAAAAGATTGTATGGTTTCTTTTGAAATTATTTTAAGAAAATTAAATTCTAAAAATATGGGGAAAAAATCGGGGTTTTTTTTATTGGTAAATGAAATGATTTAGAATCAAACAATATTTATAAAATAGTAATGATTTTCCCATCATCAAAATATAAAGGTTTTCGATATGTTTTGAACTTGATTTTGTCTATTTTTTCCCAAACGGTTTCAAATTTTTTTTTTATCAAAAAATGTTTCCAAAACATTGTCAACGACCATAGGCAGTTATGCCTGCTGTTCAATCCATTTCTATGAATAATATATTTTAAACTAAACATTGTAAATAAGCATATTTTACAAATGTTGCGAGAACATTTTCCCAAGATTAAAAAAAATGCCATACTTTAAAAAGCATTAAATAGTATAAACACCATGATTTCATTTGATATTGTTTCAAATAATGTCTTTAAAAACATTTTAAATTTCATCATAGCTTAATCTATTTAATATGGTTAGGTGGAAATTTAAAATTTAAGTTGACCTGTTAATGTTGTCATTTTTTAAAGAAAAAAAACATCTGGAATGTCTTTTAAATACTTTTAGAAAGTACAAGTAACATGAAAAAATAAATATTTGCAAATTAAATAATATTTAGTATTATTTACAGTATCATTAACAGTGTGTCATGTGCCTAATTATGTAACACCACATAATATTACGCACTGGTCGGGTATCTACATCGATAATTGAGTTTCATTGAGATTTGTAGTCTGTGTATACACAGTAAACATAAATTCAGACGTACCCATATCATTGTAGACAAATTAACAATTTTGATAGTACAATAATATGTAACTGGAATATTTGGGACTTTCGAGGGATTAATCTTTTTTAAAATGATACATGTAATTATAAATTCTATAAATTGATGTTTAAAAAGTTGAATAAGAAAAATTTCAGATTCTGATTTAAAACAACTACCCGTAAAACGTAAAGTTTTTACTGCTCGTGTGCTAACTTGAGCCTTTTAAATTTTGTAAACAAATATGAAATGAAATACCTAAAATTATTATTAAATAAGGAGAGAAAGAAAGTCTTAGAAAGAAAAAAGCACGTCCGTGGTCTTCACACAGCAGTTACGACTGTATTCTACAAACTCTCGTATCAAACACTATAAATAATTCAATACATATTTAAAAAATATTTTTTGAATTAAATTTTGGTCAATTGTTAACCAACTATTTTATAAAGGTAATATATCAAATACTAAAATAAGAAATTAAAGAGACAACACCGCGGGCGTTTGATTTTCTCGGCAGGCGTGCTCCATGCCGTATTCAAACTTTAAAACTAATAAAAAGTCCAATCTGTGCTTTTTAAATTATAAATTGTGTATCAAATTAAAAAATTATACATGTATAAACTTAAAAACACAAGTAAACAAGTTTTATTTCATTTCCTTAACAAAATATTTAGAAGTCCCGAAACGCGTTAACCCAAGTCCCGAAACGTGTTGTCAGGTCCCGAAACGTCGGGGTCCCGAAACATCGCGGTCCCGAAACATCCAGAATTCTATAGGGGTCAAAAATTAGAACGCCTAAAAGAGCGAAAATTTACAGATATTTTCCTTTTTATCTTGAAACTAAAAATATTTTGTTAAGACATGTTGAATAAAAGTTGTGCATAAATTACAAGCGCTTTAATTTGATATCATTAAAAAGGGGCGGGCCCCTAAAATTAGGGATCTAGGGCCCTTGAAAGTTTTTGTTTAATATCTCAAAAAGTATTGAGAATTTATAATACGTCAAATAAGCAAAGTTGTTCAAAATGTCAAGCTTTATCTAATGAGGTTGTCAAAATACGTCCTGGGACGTCATTTCCGGTCAAACCGGAAGTAGTCAAAAATTGCATATTTTTATTGTTCTTGACAGGTTTTTGGATATCATATGTCACTGGAAGCTTAAATCTTAATTTTCCGTCCGTTGACGGTACTTCCGGTCAAACCGGAAGTTGCCAAAAATGGATTGATTTTGCAAAAATGAACATAGATTTGGAGGAGTAAACCATTTTTCGACTTCATTATTCTTTTTTTTTTTTTAAATGAAAGTTACTTCCGGTCAAACAGGACGGAAGACCTACTCGTTGCTTTGCAACGAGCTCGGCTCTAGTTTTCTTTAATTTTATTAATTAAGCGAAAAAAACAGTAATGTATGTTGTTTGACGTCCCTCTCGAGAATTTTTCACTCATATGGAGACGCCACCACTTGCCGGTGGAGGGCTACAAATTTTGTCCTATGCTCGGCACTCAGGGCCTTTGAGCAGTGAGGGATCTTTTTTGTGCCAGCACCTACTGCGACACAGGGCCTCGGTTTATACGGTCTCATCCGAAGGACTGGTCTCCACGTCCCACAGTGGGATTCGAACCCGCGACACAAGGATTGACTCCTTACTTCGCAACTCTAGAACAGACGCTCTAACCACTGCGCCACTCGGGCGAATCTTAAGGGTATGAAATAAATACAATGTACATTAAAGAAAGAGTATGTTCTGCGGCCAGCACCATATGATCATTGAAAAGGATGGTTGTTGTTTGTTTGTAATTTGTTTGCGATATTAGAATTTTCTTTTTTTTTCTCGATTTTTTCTAACAAGATTTGATTTACAGGGGATGCAAATATATATATATTTTTCTTTTTTCCGGCTTAGTTGGTGTAGTAAGCTGTAATTTATCTTGTTTCGAGATGGCTATATTTGAATTGTGAATTTATAATAAAGACAAAGGGACTTAAGGAATACAAAAAAGTGAAAAAACTCAAAACTCTTTGTCATATGCCCGGAAGTAAAGCATGATTTTTAATCTCTTTGTGTGATGAAGGGTTTGACCACTGTTATCATTACCATTTTGATACGAGAACTCAAGTAAAGTTCTCCATCTGTTTACAATTGTCATCAAAGAGAAACCTTTGTAGATTTTACTAGTATGCAAATAATCGTAAAGCTTTTAAGGATGGATTCTTCTCATATTTCTTATAATTGCAGAATCTTGATTTTCTAAATACTCAATATTCAGACTGTGTACACTTATTTAACATCCAAACAAACTGGTGTAATCAGCCTTGATTTTCAGTCAAGGTCATCTGAAAGTCAGTCCTAAAAATAGTACTTTTACACAGAGAAATTTTGAAATTCACACATAGGAATAATTTTGCTAACAGAAAAAAATATCTTGCTCAATAAAATTAAAGTTGTAACTTATTTTTGATCACTAACTAACGTGAATTGAGATGGTGGGAAAAAGACATGAAAAACTCAATATTCAATAAAAAAATTTAATCCGAATTTCCTCGATAATTTCTTTCAAATTTCTCAGTTTTCATAAATTTACATGAAATTTCATCTCAATTTTTACAATTGATCGTATAATGTCAAATATTTAGATTTTTGTCGGATGAATATTCAAATGTTGAAGATTAATTTACAAGGTAGAAAAGATATGGTATTCGTGCTAATTATAGAACAAATTTAGCCCGAATTTACTCTACAGTTTCTGAAATCTTCCATTTTACAGAGTGGTGTTTAAATCTATATGAAAGATTCTTAACCACCCAAAATAGGCAATTTGGTGTAATTGTGACACAATACTTCCAGTTACACATTTCATTTTATGAAAGTTTGTACTAATAATATTTAAAATATTTATTTCGAATTTCCTCTGTCATTTTATTCTTAGGAATAAGTTAGGTTTTACAATTTTATAAAATACATTCTGGATTCTTTTTATAATTCATATATTCAGAAAAAAAATGAAATTATGCATGGAATCATTTCAAGATATGCACAATTAAATGACAAGAAAAAGGTGTGGGGTCATCATCCTTGATTTTGCTTGAAGGTCAATTGAAAAGTTGATGCTAAAAATAGATTTTTTCCTTCTGTGGAATTAAGAAAATCCAATATGGTATTTTAAAATTGATGTTTTGGAAAAATGAAGATGAATAGATATGAAAAAACAATTAAAGTCTTAAGTTTTATGTTAAGCAATGTACTAAAGTAAAAAAATAACAAACTTTTGATCACAAATCACACAAAATATTTATTCTGAATTTCCTCTGTTCTCTTTATAAAATGATATTTTAGTCTTTGACAATCGTTCATTTTCGTTTAACCTTTTTAATAAAATCATATATTCAGAAAAAATATTTTTACAACCATACGAAAGATAGATGTTGAATGAATCATTTAAAGCACAAAAATGAAGGGGTATTCATATTCATTAAATTGCCAGATTAGCTCGAATTTCCTCATTTTAGAAAATATCATTGAACAAAGAAAATGCTGTCAATATATCATATAGGCTAATAATTTAAGTGAAAGGACGGGCGGTTACATAAATACATTTTCTCTGAAATGTGATATGATGTATTATTGTGAAAATAATTGTTGAAATTATTGCCATGTTTAAAAAAACCCAAAAAAATTCAATCCGAATTTCCTCTGTTATAAAATATACTGGTTTCATTATTTACAAAAAAGTAAAGGTTCTCAATCGAAATACATGTATGTTTTTGCAGAGTTAGGCCAAAACTTTATGTTATATTATAGAATCTTAATTAATAGATGTACTGTACATGAACAAATATATCACATGCATGTATATACCAGAGAAGTATAATTATGTATATAAATATTTATCGGCGCCAACACAATTACAATAATTGTTAAAGGCGCAACATACTGGAATAAGAATCAGCAATTATTCATAAAATTTTATACAATACACTGTTTCTAGATTTTGAGGATATACATAAATCATACAATAATATAATTTACACAATAATTATGTATAACAATGATTTCTAAATATATGATATTTCTTCTTAATAAATAAGTGTTATTTTCAGTATTTCTGGGCATGACTATCAAAGGTATATGAGACAAATTTGATACTTTTCCTTTCAAGAAAAAAATACATCAACTTCCTTTCAAAAGTTATCTTATAATTATTGTATTTTTGGCAGCTGAATTGAAAATAAAAACCATCTTAAATCTCTCCTGTGTTACAAATAATTTACAAAATCTTTCATTAGGGAGTGTTTATAGGCAAATCTCTCGATCCCCTTTCTGTGGCAAGGTTATGTGCACTAAGTCTCAAGCTGTTAATGATTGGTCTCTCTGTTCTTTTTTTCTTTGGGGGGGGGGGGGGGGTATATCAGTGTAATCTACAGCATCTGTATTTTTAATGACTTTGAGGAAAAATCTTACCTTGCTGAAAATTGAGAAAATCTTTTTAGTTCATCACTCACTTGATGTGAGAATTTCTTGCTCAGCATCTGTTCACCTGCTGAGAGTCCAAATATTTTGCCTACAATTAAAAAAAAGTATTAAATATATGTTACATAGCAGTACAAATGCTGCATTAGATGTTACAGTGTATTATACTTTCATGTTAAATACTAAAATCTTATTAGTTTAGATGCATCTAACAATCCTTTTTGTTATACCTTTAAGAATTTGTTCCTATACAAATCAATATGAAAAAAAGTCCAACATTTCTAATGTTTTGCTGAGCGGGCATAAAACAATTGATGTTTAACCACTGATTAGATGTTGGACCGGTTGATGAGATGTTGGACCGCTTACATGTACATCACACAATTGGTGGAGCTTAATCTAATTTGCGTTTGTTGATGTTTAACAGTGACGAGCATGAAGTTCAAGACAGTACAAGATACATGTACATCAAAATAAATATTAAAATGAAAGGTATCACAAAACATTTATTGACTGTGTTCTCGAGCAAATACATTTTGTCGATCCTCAGGCAGACAGTTTGGTTCTTGGGTCTGAGAAAAAAATTCATGTTGCCCTTGAACTCAGTCAATAATATTTGAAATTGACACCCCTTTGTGTCAGTTGACAATGGTTTTCTGAGGTGTCAATTTCTACTGAAAACCTCAAAAACATGCACTATATTTATATAATAAGAATATACAGTTGTGTTCATATTTCTTATAATTATGTACCTCAATAGTCCATCTGCAAGCAGATTTTGTTCAATCATCCTGCCTAAGTCTGGCCTTCAGTCTTTTTACAACTACAGGTAGTGTGCTCCTGGGTAAATTAAGTACTGTAGGGTTGTTTCCTCCAAAGAATTAAACATGAACAGTTCTTAGACTATTGTTTTTTAAATTAACAAAAATTAATTTTAAGATTAAACAATCAATCTTATCTGTAATTCATTTATTGATTTATAAAAAAGAATGAATGAAGTTTTTTAATATATATATATTATTTTATATACCACATTGTATAACAGTGTATAATGTCTTATATTATAAAATTTGTACTATAAAAACATTTTAAACCTAAAAATACAGAAAAAGTACAATAATATAAATAATTTCTGAACCATTGTGTTTCATTTTGCTCCATAAATTAGACAACTGTTTGTTTCAATGTTATTGATATTTCCACATGCAATATCCCTATTTTTTTCACTTTGATTTGTACCCCAGCGGAACACCTCACTTTTCTAGCAACTTGATGATTGTTGTGTCTTTAACAAATAAGGCTAGTTAGTATTATATAACTTGTTGTAATCATATACAAAAAATGCTATTTTTGTGAATAAATATTTATTCATAAAACTGACGAACAAACGGAAATGAAAAATTTTAATCCTCAAATGTTGAACTGTCGATCGCGGGAACAAGCATACGAAATACATCGATCTATAATAGCCTTGCGAATTCCCATTTATCAATAAAAACTATGTAATTCAATTTCAAAATTATAGATTAAATTCTCTGACATAAATTACTTACATGTACAATCTCACTGCACAGTGACACGGCATGACATCAGGCGATCGAGGCAACGTGGGTCTGCAATCTCGCATGTTTGTTACCTTCAAGTTTCTTTTGGTTGATCGGGTGTCCCAGGCATAAAGAAATGGGTGACTTAAAATTGGTTAAATCATCCCTGGGCTTCTACAATGCTTCAATAATGATCACAGCTTGTAGATTTTACAAAACAATCCTGTCGGGGTTTTCTACGGGAAACGACCTGGACATGTTGACATTCGCTACGGAACTGCGCATTTTATGGCAATTGTCGCAAATCAAAGAAAAAATTACGTACAACTTATATTGTTTAATAGAAATAGATTCAAAAATACATAAACTGATAAATTAATCAATAATTTTTCATTCAGATAAATTAAATATGTAATTTGCATTTAACGACTTGCAAAATCTATGGAGACCCATTGACGACGTAAAATGCTGACAAGAATCCATCTTTAAGGTTTGTAATTTTATTACATTGTATTTTACATAGGAGGAGACATAAGAAAATGACTGGTGTCCTCGCCCTGTTATTTCTGCTTGTGGTTTTCGCAGAAACGTACGGTAAGGTTTCAAACAAATAGCCCCAGCTTTTTTAAGATGCGTAGAAAATTAATTATCATTTCTTTGGGTATATCCAATATTTCCTCCGTGTGTATTTTAAAACTCTATCTGTGTATATGTACATGCATGTCACATGTCATTAATCCGTATTTGTCAAACTTGAATGGGACATGCACACAATTTTAGCTCAATTATTCAAACTTATTTTTCCATTTATAAACAAATATTTAAATGAGATATATCTAATGATTATAAAAAAAAAATCACATTTCAGTTGTCAGGATACAACAAAGATTCTGAGCCCCAAAACTTAGTTACGTGTATGTTAACAAGGTCTGTGCCGTGTTTTTGTTAATATAGGTTAATATACTAGTATATTTTTGTTCAAAGCATGTTTTTTTGTTAAAAAAGAAATTAAATGTAAGAACAATTACACAGTTTCTAGTGATTTACTTAATTTCAATTTGTGATAAATATATATTTCATAATTTGTTAACAAAACAAAGCACGAGCCTTGCTTACATTATGAAGATTTTTAAGCTAACTTTCTCGTTTACTAATTATCAAATGTTGTTCAATTAGCTAGATGAGAAAACGCAATGTTCTTGAAAATTGTAGAAGTTTTGCGTATTTGACTACTGTAGCTAGGAATTAAAATATGAGCGCATTCCAAGATTAAAAAAAAAGACGTTTTGATCTTTAGAAACAGATCTTTCATTATGTATTTGCATATTTTGGATCAGAGGCTCTGCTTTATATGAAATATTGAAAAAAAAAATACTTCAACTTTAGGCCATCCTCGAAGGAATTTACAGAATATGAGGAAAATAACGCATTTTGTGACGTCATAATGCATTGACTATAGGGAAATTTACGTCATGATTAATAGATATGTGGTCACCAACACTTCGAGTGATAAATACTACATTTGCAATCTAAACAGAGCGGTTTTGGTTTCTTAGAAATTATCAGGGCCAACCAAATAAGGCATATTAGTGCATAAGGCATATAGTGCTCTTTTTGCTGATTCATTTGATGATGCCTTAGTTAGAAATTCTAAAGATTAAAATTGGTTAAAAAACAGTTGAAACTGTGCCTATGTCCCTTTAAAGAATAATATCCACTGGACCAGTATGCATAATGTGTTAAAAAAGTGATATTTAATATATTGATACCTTAAACGGAAAAGATGTTTCCTAATATCTACCTTTAAGGATGAATCGGGATTTATAGCATAATTAGATCACGAAAAATTAAGTTTAAATAAAAAAAAATTAAATATCCTATATCTATGTGATAAGTAGGAAAACACTTAGCTGTGATACAATTGTGTCAAAGATGACATTTTACAACAATATAACAAATATACATTTTTAAAGTTACAATAATAAATATTCAACAAATCAAATAAGACATTATTATGATTACGTTGTCTGAACAAATTGCAACATACACAAAAAAATATTTACTTGAGATTGATAATCTTAAACTTGTGTCCAAGATCAAAGTATTAATAAATTTATCTTTCTTAAGAATGCCTTTTGCTTCGACAGACAATTTAGCATTAAATAAATCAGCTTGGCAACAAACTACTTGGACTGGCCAGCTAATACCATGGGGGGCTGCAAAAGCGGTAGACGGACAATACACAAACCGTTCAGCCGGAGGCAATCAGTGTTCAATATCAAATGGCGGACAACAGACGGCAGAATGGAGAGTAGATCTAGAGAGTAAAATCAGCATAAGCCATATCAGCATCTTCTACAGAACAGATAATACACCCAGTACGTATAATGAAAGTCATTAATTGATGAACAAATAATAAATTAGATATGGATATTAAAGCTATTATATCAATCGCAGAGACGAAAAACAAACACCAGAGTTTAATTTTATTAGTAATAAAAAGATTGATGCTCGACTAATGTTCCCTTTACACTGTATCAATTTCATTCCACCTTAAGAAAAAAAAATGTACTTATGTTAATCCTATTCAGATTCGGACTCAACCAGATGCCTGTTGAGACCTATATTCTGCATTTAAAGCCTTTCAGTAGAGAGGGGCGTTTTTCTGGCTAACATTTGCGATATTGCACTTCAGTTAATAGAGTTTCATCCAAATAATCTAAATAATATCCAAATAATATGATTTATCATATACTCATTCTGCAACTATTAGAAAAAAAACAACTTTCAAGCACTTCCCCACGCAAATCAAACTTCTAAATGGTTTTGATAAAGACTATTGATATCCTTTTTTGTCTTTTTGCGTCATGCAATAACATTTGAAAATTTTCAGCTTTTTCTCTGCAACCACTCGACCAATTTCAACCAAATTTGCATAAAGCATTTATGGCTGAAAGGGAACAAAAAATGTGATTTTCGTGGTCCCTGCCCCCCTGAGGCCTAAGGGATGGGGCCAAACCACTAAATTTAATGCAATCTTTAAACATTCTCTTCTTTACTCCTGGACATCAAGGAGTCAAACTGATTGTAATCAGCATTGAGTCCTCTAACAAAATTTTGAAATTCTTGGCTCCAGGGTCAGGGGTTCTTAGGTGTTAGCGCGGAGCTCTATAGATTTTATAGTGAAATGCATTATTTCTTTGAAAATCTTCTTTGCTCCTGAATACTTAATACAAAAAAACCCCAAATATATAGTTATGTTGAATGAGGCCTTAGGGTCAGGGGTTCCTGATAGGGCGGGGCTCTATTAATTATATATTACTGAAAATAATAATTTTTATGAAAATCTTCTCTGCTGCTGGGTATTAAATAAACTAACCAAGTACATAATGAAGTTATGATGAACAAGTGTGTCTCTTCCAAAATTGTGAATTTCGTGGCCCCTGCATTGGGGGTTCTTGGGTTAGGCTCTATTGATTATAAAGTGAAAATACATTATTCTTTAAAAATAGAAATATAGCTAAAACATTTCCTCATATTTTATAATAATAATTATTATGAATAAGAGTGCCTCTACCAGAATTGTGAATTTCATGGCCTTAGGGTCAAGGGGGATGGTGTAAGGGTGTGTATATTGCTTATATTGTGAAAATGCCTCAATGCTTTAAAAATAGCATCCACTGCTAATGAGTATTTAACCTATGAACTATGTACATAGTTATGAACGATGCGTCTTCCAGATGTGTGAATTTCATGGCCCCAGGATCAATGGTTTTTGTGTTAGGGCGGGGATTTAATAATTATGTAGTGAAATGCATGAATTCTTCGAAAACCTTTTCCTTTGCTTCTGGGTATTATGCCAGTGTTCTAAGTACATATTAATGATGATGAAAGATGACTCTTCCGAAATGGTTAACTTCAGGGCCACTGGACCAGGGTACTTTGGATGGGGTGAGGGTTACAAAGTTTGAAAATAAATTAATGCTTTGAAATCTGCTCTTTGGTATAAATAAACTATTTTATGATGAAATATAAGCAAGACTGCACTTATGTGCCCCGATAAAATGTAAAAAAAAAAAAAAAAATAAACAATCAAATTAACCAAAAGTTTCATCCCAAATCATTAATTGATATCTCAACCGTACGATTCAACAATTTTTTACCGCAAAAATTCACGAATTAACAAATAACAAAACCATAGAATGTGGCAAGGGTCAGCCGAAATTTGTGATTTTCTTTAATAAATGGTGAACGGTCATTCATTTCAATGCTTTTGTTTACTATGAACCTAACTTTGTACAAAGTTGTGCGAATGACAAAAGACGCATAATGCGTACATTTATAAAACTTGTGTGAAAGTAGGAAATGTGTAGACGATTCGGCTGGTACTATAAATATAAAAAATGTACAAAAAGTACAATTATTTCCCATAGCAAGTTAGAGCTATTTAACTGTATGACCCTTGTTGAACCCACGTGTGGAATAAATTATTTAAAATCATAGTAGTCACGTGAGTTCTACCCAGGTTAACATTCCTCAGAGGTGCTAAATGTAAAACTTGGTAGATTTTGTATCATTTAAACCCCAGTCTCATTTCAAAAAACGACCAGCTCTGAAAATTAAGTATCTCCAGCAAATAGTAATATTTATGGGGATTTTTGTTGACAAATTAAGTACTCAAAAAATGCTATATGTAACGTGACCCGATCTCGGGTGATACAAAAATTATGTGGGTCCTCTTATTCCTGAGATTTACCTTAATTAATCAACAAGATTTGTTTATATTTAAGAATGGATTTATTCAAACAACAAAAACAATATGATTAGTATAAAATACAATCAAAGTATACTTATGGATAATAGGTCAGGATATACGTACTTGGCTGATTCAGGTTGGGTTAGGGTATGTAATAGTCAGCTGATTGGGTTCCCAATATCAACAATGGGTTAGTACGTTCAGCTGATTCAGGTTGGGTTACCCAATATTTGATATTGGGTTAATTTATATTGGGGCAATTTATATTGGATCAATTTACCCAATATTGGGGCAATGGATTTTACCCAATTATGGGGAGTTGGGATTCTTTGAGCTGGTCAGATGTTAATGAGTCTGACCAAAGTCCCAGACTGAAGAAAAAGTCTAAAGTGCCTTCTTTATATACCTTTTCATACATCGGTACGAATTAGTTCACGCGCGAATAACAAGCGGGACCGTCAGTATTCGCGCGACGTTTGTATGGTAACACTAACAACTTTTGCATCAAGTAAAGGCTTTATCATTACAAATCCGGGAAAAGGGATGAAGTGGTCTGTTGTTTGGGAATTGTTTTGGTAACGATGCCAAGTTGGATTTCGGTACCTCAGTAGAATAACAATGCCAGACGGCTATTTGTTATTACGATAGGGCTGATCAATGGAGGAAATTCGGGTTTGTACATTACAATGAAACGATATTCATAAAATAAACATATACAATGAATCATAAAGCATACATTAATGACATACGATGATAGGTAATATTCCCATGATATCTACAAATAAATTTACGATACCTGGATTAAATATTCAGGGCATAAATTGGGGTGATCCAATCTGCGGGTTATTTTGGTCATGGGGGAAATCCGTAACATATGTTAAACGAGATAAGGGTGTCTTAGTAAAGTTTTTTGTATCATCAGTCTACCTCATTTTTGAAAATAAAATTTCAGTTGTCATGTCAACTTTATAAGATTTTCCGTAGCTTCGTAGTGCCAATATATGACAATAAAAATTATATATTGAACTAAGTATAACGATAACTTTATGATGAAAGAATCCGTGATTAGTACATGAATAAATGGTGAACAGACTAAGATAACTCCCACTACTTCCAAAACTTTGTTTTACATATTTATCTGTAATAAGGAGTTGTCGACCTCTTAGTCACACCTCAAAAAAGAGACTCACTCGTTTGAGGTTACTTGATGAATAGATTAAATGTGTCATAAGTGTGTATCATGTTTTCTATTGTTCTTAGGTCCTGGTGCTTTTTATAATCGCTTTGCTGGATTTTTTGTGTACGTTTCCAATACCACAAGTAGGCAAGACGGTCATCTTTGTTTCCATGAAATACAAACAGAAGACAGAACACCGACAGAGAACCAGACAATAAGCTGTCCTGTACACGGACGTTATGTTATATACTACAACGAAAGAAGAAGGAATATGACATACCCGAGTTATTATTCTACATATGCATTTAGCGAACTATGTGAATTAGAAGTTATTGGTGAGCACTGTATAAGATATTTTTATTTCCCTTTATCAGACATAATTCCATTGGAAAGCTGTTTTTGCTAGCAGTATATATATTATTGTTTTTACAGGATGTTCTGATCCAACCGTTTATGGAGAACACTGTAATCAGCCATGTTCAGATAAATGTCAGGAACAGAGATGTACCATCACTACAGGAGAATGTCTGGGCTGTATACCGGGATATCAAGGCCCTATGTGTAATCAAGGTCAGCAAATGAGCATATAGATTTATTGCATTCTTATTTGTGAAAAGGGATATAAGGGCCCCCTTTGTTTTGTCTGAACAATGCCAATTTATGCCTTTGGAATGTTTTAGCAACAAAGGTGCACATTTTCAAAAAAAAAAAATTAACAAAACTAACACTTTCCAAACGGAATTTTAAATGTTACCTTAAAATTTAACACCGTCAGCCAAAACATAGCGTTGCCTGGCCAAATGCAAGCTTTTAAAACTAGAAAAAACATGTAAAAACTTTTTAGTGAGAAAAACACTGATTACATTAAAAGACACTTAAATTTTAGGAGAAGAAACAAAAAATATTTTAAAGCTGACATGAACTCTTAAAAAGCCATCATTTTTAATCTTTGTACGACTTACTACATTCCTGTACGCCTTTGTCCGCCATATTTCTTCGATTCCGCCATATTTAATTGAAAATTTTTGGTCACCTGTACCTGCTATATATAGCCTTGTACGATTGCTTCACTTGAGTGATTTTCTAGCCTGACTGTCGACATGTACACACCTCCGATAACAAAGTTTTTAGAAGTCCATAAACTGACCAAATACATGCTTGAAAAGTAAAAATTCAACAAAAAATAGAACTATACCGAGAATTGAATTATTTTAGAATGCATTTGCTGCAATATAGAAAATAAACTAACATGGAATACATACATGTACACCAAACACCCATGCAGGTCGAGAAAACGCGTCAAACGCAGTGATAAAAACATTTACCTGACAACTGCTATCGTTACAGGGATCTGCACATGTCGAAAGGATTATCCTATTTTACTTTTATTTAAAAATGCATCTCAGAAGTCATGTAATCCATTGCTAACTCAACAGTAAAAGATGCTTGGATACACGTGACCCATGCCGATCATTTTAATTGGTCAGGGAAAATATCAAAGGTTGAAAGCTCAGTGGGGTTGATTGAAAAAAATATGCAAGTAATTTTTCAAAAATAAACATTACTCCTGTCTGTACATGTTGTAAATAAAATTTACGATAAAGTACATGGTTTAACTTCACCAAATTCATTTTAAAAAAAAGCAGGCATTATTACGAATCATTCACTTTTTAAAGATATTTTCCCGTGATATGGGGGGGGGGGGGGGTGGGGTAATAAAACATGCATAACACTCTCATAAAAATAATGTAAGAAAACCGTCTGAAACAGATTGGATTTCTTTATCATCAATTATTATCTAATAAATACTGTGTATTGGCTTTATTAGACCCAATATAATTTGATTTAAAGTTATTTATAATTTTATGCACTATGAAAGAAAAAGTTAGCACGTTCACATACCCCACGCTCCCCCAAAAGTCGAAGTGCTAAAATTCCCAGAAAAAAATAAAAGAATTGTAATTTGCTTGTAATATGCACATCTATACACATTGTGCCCTAAATATATACAAGGTTTGACGAAATTGTGTGCAGCGGTTTATGAGGAGTTCCGCTGACAATTCAAGATATGGCCAAAATCTAAATGTAAAAGTGCGGAAATTCCCGAAAAATAATGAATTCGGAATTTCCTGGTGATGTGCAAATTTACACACACATTGTCTCCTATAAATATCTGCAAAGTTCGACAAAACTCTGTACAGTGGTTTATGAGAAGTTGCGCTGACCAAAAAAAAAGACTGAGTGACGGGTCAAAAACATTATACCTCACACGTGGGGTATAATAAACGAGTTTGATTCTTTGGTACAATGATAATGAAAATAGAATTTAATGTGAAATGAATTTCTAGACATAAATAATTAATGATTATATGAAAAAGCATATAGGAAGAGAGAGTAAACTCCTCGTGAGAATTCCACATTCTAAAAATTCTCTTGTCTATTGTCCAAGTTCGACACATACGTTTGAGAAGGTATTGGAGAAGGTTCCCAATGTTCCCATTCCTGTGATGTATATTTCACGTTTATTATATCCCCCGCCTGAATGGTGGGAGGTTGTATAGTAATCGTTATGTCCGTTCATGTCTGTTACGCTTTGGGGTACCCATCTCTTATCCGCAAATCCTGTAATACCACGTAGAGAAATTTAATGAAACTTTCAAAGAATCTTAGGTTTATTACATATTACCATTATGTACCTCCTATTTCACTTTTTGATCTGACACGTATGGGTTTAGCGAAATATGGACTTTGCCATTATAACTATATGGGAGGCAGGAGGTATCATTTAGTGAGCTCATTCAGTGGCGGATTTAAGGTCCCCCCCCTAAAATTGTCAAAGTTAAAGTAAATCACAGTTTCCTCTAGAAAATGTAAATGTGTCTACTTGGTAGACCTCATTTTTACCCTACAAAATTTCTAGAACCCAGGACCCACTGGGGGCCTCAAGGCAGCCCCCAGACCCCTTGCCTACTTTTGGCGCCCCCTCTAACTTCAATTCCTGGATCCGCGCTTGTCATTGCTCATATTACATGTACGTCTAGTTTCTCTTTCAATTTGGGCGTTGGGGTTAATTTCCTGTCCAAAGTAAAATTATCATTCAATTTATGAAGTTTCGACATCCCGCCTGAAAAAAAATTTCTTGATCTGTCCTTAGGCATAATAAATGGTACAGCAAAAAGTGCGTAGGAATTTATACCTATCATTGCCCCAACGGGTGGTTACAGAGAGAGAGAGAGAGAGAGAGAGAGAGAGAGAGAGTTCAATATACAAAAGAATAAATAATAATTATCCGTATTCAACCAGTGTCAAGTATCCCTACCCTAGCTTTTAAAATTATCTCCCAAATTCACCTACAGAAATTTTTTGTATATATAAAAAATACCTAGACTATCAGGTAGGGATACTGAAATCTCGAAATACTTCCTGCGACAACATAATTATAAAACAGTTACATTCCTTAAAATGCACATACTTTGTGGTCGGAGCGACACATTTTAAAAAAATCTCAAAACTGAATTCGGCAGAAATGTATGTCTTCCAAGAATATTTAAATAACGGTCATGTCAATTATTTTTGTATGCCCCCCCCCCCCCCGTCCAAAAAATCAAATGCCTAAATGTCAATCTGAACAGGAGATGGCCTTTCTCCGTGTGTGTATGTGTTAAAGAATGTATAGATGTACACATAAAAATTTGTATTCAGGTTAATTAATTGCTTTTAAGAATTGAAGTAAATTATTGCCGTACATCAAATTACCTGGTTTAGATTTGAGATTAGTACTAAAATAATCGGTTATAATTGATAAATGAATTTTGCGACGCAAACCAACCGCAGACTATATATATGACTTTGTATAGAATGTATATTAGAACTACATGAAGATAAACTATTTTCAATTATAGCTTATGAACATCAGTTATAATATCCCCCCCCCCTTTCAGCCGCGCAAATACCAAATAACTTCTCTTTCCACTTTTGATATTTTCCCTTACCAAAATCTGATCAGCAAGGACTAAGGGTATCGTCGTGATAGTGTGTACGGAGAAATGACAGTGTGTTTACTATTGAGCTTTTATGGAGTTTATTTCTTTTTTGTGATACATATTTCAATAAATGGAGTTCAGGGTGTATTTCACTTGACTTGTGCACATCTTCGAACCATTGCAGTAACCTTATTATATGTACCAGGTATGGGTACGTTTACAGCGTTCGGGGCGTTTTCTCGATATGCATCAGTTGCATAGGACCTGCAAATCAAAGACGTTGGTTGTTTTGTTCCATTTAAATGATATAATTCCAAAATGTGTTTGCAAATTTTACTGCTTTTTATTTCAAGTTTATGCTGCATAAATTGGCGCACTGTAAAAATACGTACTCATGCTTTTAAATTTTCTTTTGATTCCAATCAATAATCATTCAAAATATGATTATTATGTTGTTTATTTTGTTTTTGAAATGTCTTGATCACCTCATGTGTTCTCATATGCTTTACCATCGGAGATGTGCACAAGTCGATACCCAATCCAAAAAATCATTCAAGTGTAACGAGCGCATTGGGGTATACGTCGTTACAATGAGACAAGGTATCTGAAAGAAATATGGCGGAATACGGCTATAGTTGGTATGAAACAAGTCGTACATAGATGAAAATGTTGCGTTTTTAAGAATTCATGTCAGCTTTAATTTACGCAGCATTCCAATACCGCATAGTCATCGCCAGTCTTGATTTTGATAATGAGATGATCTTTTAGAAATTAACCTTTTGCATTATTTGTGTTTTTTATTTACATTGTATTTATAAAAATTAATATTTCATCCTTTATTTTTTGGGTCATTCTCAGTATGTGATAATCGGAGGTACGGTCTGGAGTGTTCTTCTATATGTGGTAACTGTAGTGACGGGGTGACATGTAACCATGTCGACGGAACGTGTCTGAATGGATGTGACGTAGGAGTGGAGGGAGAAAAATGTCAGACTGGTGAGGCTTGTCTTTGATATTCTACGGAAATGATTTCAGACCAGTATATTTTAAAAAGTCTACTTTAACATGAATGTCCTGAATTTTGAATCTTTGGCAATTAGAATAAAGTTTAGAAAAATTTTAAAGCCTTTTAATACACACAACAAAGAACATGCCTTATTTTGATTTCAGACTATTTTTTGGCATTTTTGGTGTAAATAATGTGTATATATGTAAATATCCACGCATGAAACATTAATGATAAACATTGTATAAAACCTTTTATATCGAAAGACTTTCCATCTAAAACAAGGTGTTGTTGTTTTTATAGCCGGCACATCGAATGCAACGATTTTTCATATTTTATTGAAAACAATATCAATGTATTCCAAGTGTTGTGTTCTTGAAATACGCTATATAAAACATTGAATGTAGATCAAAAACATTAAACTGTAAATTCAATATGTATTTTTGATATATTTTGCTAGGTCTCCAATTCCTACTGAAATAAATCTTGAATTATTTCATATCAAAAATAGAGAAATTTTTTTATAGAGCGAAATAGAAACAAAACAATGTTATTTTTTAAATATATTGAGGTAACCTCTATATTCATATTCATTTCAGAATAAATCAGACATTAGTCACCTTATTTATCTAAGTAGTCTGTGTAAAGGAATAAACCTATTGAGACATTTTCAGTTAGATTCATATAGTGTGTATCTAAATTTTGGAATGAATCCACCACCCTTTCCCAATTTTTTTGTGGAAGAATCGCTATAATAAAAGAATTTCCACGTTATATGCTATGTTAAAAACTTTATTTCACTCCAACAGCGTGTCGACCTGGACGATACGGTAAAGATTGCAGAGAAATCTGTAGCGCAAATTGCTTACGTCAAAACCAGTGTAACAGATTTAACGGTGAATGTTACGGCGGGTGTCAACAAGGATGGAAGCTCCCTAACTGCCAGAAGGGTAAATTATAATAGACAAAAATATATACTCTTAAAAAAAGTCTGATGGTCAGACGATACTTTTCCTCAGATATCTGGGTTTTTTTTTATATGTCCCGATTTCGTAATATTTGTAAAATATTTAAATCATAATTACCTAGCGATTTTTTAACTTGATTTTAATTGTCTACAAAAATTACAACGTAGTATTTTTCCAAAAGGACTATATAGGCAACACCAATACTTTAATGACAAAAATAAAATATTTAGGAACGGATTGTTGTTCCTTTACTCCTGTAACAATTCTTTTTTATTTATTAATTGTAGTTATATTTTATGTGATATAGCATATAAGGTAGCAAGTAGCATGTAACTTGCACTTACGTTGTAACAATTTTGAAGGAGAAAAGAATATTCCAATAACAAAGAAAACTTGTGATTTGATGTAAACCTTTGTATACAGAGTGTGATGGAGGCCTGTACGGCGTAAACTGTAGCCAAAGCTGTGGTCAGTGTATAGGAGATCAGCAGTGTCATCACATCAACGGCACGTGTTTGAATGGCTGTTCCCCGGGATATATGGGGATCTCTGTATAAACCGTAAGTATAAACCTAGGGTAGTTTTACATTGATTGTAGAGGGTCATGATAACAAAGAAGGTGGAGTTTGACAAAGTTAATTTGTATGGCTACCTGTAAACGTAGGAAGTTAACTAAGATACCTAGAGGATAGTGGGGAGGGTTGGACTCAATATTTTAGACGCAAGTTTTTATCTACTACTAATAATGTTCATTGAAAGACTGTTTGGGCCCGGTACTGGTTAAATTAAGGGTAGTGAAGTGTATAAGTAACAAATTTAGTTTTGACAGAAGTTAGACCCCTCCTCCAAACAAAATAGGACAAGCAAGGGAAAGCATAAATAAAGCTTCTTTAAAAATTACTAGACATGTTAAAATAACGATTTTTAAAAATAGAATTAAAACATTGTAACATTATATTAGAACGTGCTTTTCAAATATATCCATTTTTTTTTATTTATCATGACCATTATCCAGCATGTGACGACGGACAATGGGGACAGAACTGTCTTCAAAAATGCAGTACAAATTGTGTTAATG